ATGGCCGCTTGTTTACCTTCAAGCCTTTAAGACCACAGACAGTATACCTTTTGATAGCTGGGCACCATCAGCTTTCTTCGCCACATTTGCTTATGCACCCATTTGTCTTCAGTGATCGTATTCAGCTGCTAATCTTAAAGTTGTTGGTTGGAGGCCCTAGCTGCTGTGGGAGAGAAAGATGTGTCAGTCAGGAACCCAGTCTGTGCTGCCTATGAAGCAGAATCAGTTAAAGTGGTGTTTGTAGGCGACTTATTGTAGTGTATTTGAATCCTCTCTGGACAGCAGAATCAGTGTCCAGGATATTCAGTGTCAGACATACATAAAGTATCCATAAAGGAAGGGCCAGAACATTAGAACATATATAGGAGTGAGGTGAGTGGCCTGAAATTTGAGAAATAATTGAAGCATTTTAATTCTTAGATGGCAGGTTTTGGAGTCCTCTCCCCTTATCCTGACCTGGAGAAGGAAGAGTAGTATAACATGCATTGCCTTTTATTAAAGGTCACAGAGATCTTAATTAAAACTAGAATAAGAATTAAAATACAGTTTGCTATTAAATGTGCATAATAAACGGCTAGGCAAATTATTTCTTGTGGTACAGAAATATAAACCTTAGAAAGATCAGTCTACGAAAGCATGAACAAGGCTATATTTCTACCATTGAGTCAATTCTGACTCATAGTGACCCTACAGGATAGACTAGAACTCCCTCTGGACTTCCAAGGCTATGAATCTTTGTGGAAGCAGAAAGCTTCATCCTTTTTCCCATGGAATGACTGGTGGGTTTGAACTGCTGACTTTGTGTTAACAGCCCAACACATAACCCACTATGTCACTAGGGTTACATAGCCAGTCTTTTATCATCGCGCCAGTGTTATATAGCAGGATGGGGAACATCTGGCCCATGGCCATAGACCAAAACCAAACTCACTTCCATTGAGTCAGTGCCAACTCTTAGTGACCCTGCAGGACAGAGTAGAACTGACCCTGTGAATTTCTGAGACTATAATTCTTTATGGAAGTAGAAAGCCCCATCTTACTCCCATAGGGACATAGAATGCCCATGAAACTGTCAATACCAGCTAACATCACACTCCTCATCAAATATAAGCAGTTCCAGCCATCACATCATGGGTGGGTTAATTAAATGTTTGACTGGGATGGCCCAAGAATGATATTATAAATATAATATCTAGATGGCCACTGGCACCAAAATGCTTCCTTACCCTTGTTATAGGGAGTCTGCACTGTACTTAAAAAGATGAATGAATAAAACGGTCAGAACAACTGACTAGAAGCATTTAGTCTTATACCACGCCTAGTTTCATTGTGGTAAATAATACGAAACACTAAGAAGTTGCATGTGTAGGAAGATTAGACTCTTCCCTCACAATTTTATGACCATACCATAATAAAAAATGTCAGATTAAATTTTTGACAAACATATAATTATTAACTAATTATTTACTGGCAAGCAAGCATAAAGTAATTCATGCATCTGTCCTAGGAGCTTGCAAAACTTTCAGCCCCCTAATAAAATGATTTAAAAAAATAAAAGAAGAAGAAAAGAAAAAAAGTCTCAGCCCTCTTTTCTTTGTGGTGTCCAGGGTTATTATTTCAAATGATAGATTCCCTTTTGGCAAATCTAAGCATTCTAAAGACAAGGATGAGGCTCTTTCTTGGCATTAGGCTAGTCTAATTGTCTAGAATTCATAACAGGACAAAGAAACATTTAATATAGGGCATAATCCTAAGACTGAATATTTTATCTCACTAGATT